ATTAATTTTTGAATCACGTGTAATTTTAGTAATGGCCACAATTTCAGGGTTAATGACAGTTATTTCATCGCTACTCAATAGGTTTTCATCTAATCTAAGCGGAGAGTTGATCTGAGAGTGTAGTCTATTCGGAGAGTTAGTTTGGGAATCAATTTCAACATTTTCAATTTCAAATACTGGGAAAGAACAATTCGAATCGCTATCCATTTTGTTTGAATTAATTGATAAAGGCCAATTTGACCGTCTTCCAAGGGAACGATATATAGAGCACACTGAATGTCCCTTGGATTTCTTTGATTTGAGCGTTATGCAAATTGATCGTTTCCTATTGGTCGGTGTCTTCACGCATGACTTTCCGCCCTCAACCGTCGCTGTTTGTCGGCATGTTTTCCATTCTCGCTTCTGATTGGATGAAAGCTGTCTAGACTGTTTAGAACCAGTTCTTTTAATGTCCTGATGATTTCGTTCACCAAGGGATTTTAAATCATTTGTGAAACCAAGGGTTTTTCTAATTGAAGCTATTTTTGCCACGGTGAACAAATTATCATATTGACTTATCGGTTCAGGGGGTTCGCTAGGATGCCTTGACAAGTAATCCGCTTATCCGATCTTGGCGCCCGGTTTGTGTTCTATTATAAAGTCAAAAGGAATCAGTCTGTCTAGCCAACGTGTCAGTCTTGAAAAGAGAGTTTTGTTTTTCTTGTTATTCCCGTTAAGTAATAAAATCAGGGCCTTATGATCCGTGATAACTGTAAAAGATCTTCCTAAAATGTAGTTTCTGAAATATTCGGCTCCCCATACCACCGCCAGCATTTCAAGCTCGTTAGTGGAATATTTTTTCTCGGCTGCATTTAAGAATCGTGATGCGAAAAAGATAGGGCGCCACCCTTCTGTACCCAATTGCTCTAAAACCGCTCCAAGGCCATTATGACTTGCATCGCAGACAACTCTAATGTCTTTATGAATATCGAATTGTTTTAGTTCAACTATGTTTGCGACCCCCAATTTAATGTTTTGGAAAGCATTTTCACATTCCGCGGTCCAGTCATATTCATTTTTCTTGCTGAGAAGTGGCCTTAATGGAGCTGACATCTCCGCTATCGCTGGTAAGTACTTATGCAAGCTGTGAATTGAGCCCATAAATGATTTCAATTGAGTGACTGTTTTAGGAGCCTTTAATGCGTCAATCGGCGATGTTTTGCGTTTAAGCGGCGTAACCCCCGTTTCGGTTATACGATGACCGAGCCACTCACATTCTCGTTTCGCAAACTCGCATTTTGGTAATTTCAGCAATATGTTTTCGCGATTTAGTTTCCTGAGGATCTTTTCAACTAAGGAGATTTGTTCTACTTCCTTTCCTTTGGTTGTAACGAAAATATCATCAATAAACGCGTTCGCTTGTGGGAATTCGTTCAAAATTGAGTCCATTACTCGTTGGAACTCTGCCGGCACGGACGTTAGCCCGTAAAACCCTGTCCGGAATCGGTATGTTCCTGTCGACCGTCCGCCCACCAAAGAAAATTCACAACAAGTGGTAGTTGCCCATACGCGTACGTTAGATCCATCGTAGTAAAATACACCTCTCCTTGTTTTTTCTCGGAAATAAGTTGTCCTATAGTATCTACAAGTTCTTCTATATTTGGCATTTGTTTTTATGAACTTGTTTATTAAGCTCTCGAGATTCCAATGCTAATTTCACGGACCCGTCTTTTTTACGGTGATGACGATCGGAGAAACAAAACATCGATCCGAACACTCTTTCAACTTTTCTATATGTCCCTGGGTTAATAGCTTATCAATTTCCTTGTCCACCTTTTCTTGGAGCGTTACCGGCACTCTCCGTCTTTTCTGCTGCACTGGTACAAGATTTTTGAAAAATTCCGCTTGAACCTTGCAGTTCCTAATTTTCCCGACTCTAGTAAAAAGTTTTGGGAATAGCTTACTGAAGTATAATTGCCATTGGTCCATCTGCTCATCCTCCGATTCTCCGACGTGCCCCTTCTCAGATGAACTGTCTTCCGTCCCCTGGATGTTCATTACTTCCCCCCTTGGATCTGCTTGCATCAACTGGAGTCCGAGTTTCCCCATCAAATCACGTCCCACGATGGATGGTCTGGTTCCCCCGATGACTCGGACTTCTGCTTTCGTCTTCCAGCCGTTTGATGCTAACTCAAGCTCCATTCTGCCCAACATCTTGATCCGATTGTTGCTGTAGTCCCGGAATTCGTCATCGTCAACGTCATCTTGTTTTAAATTAATTCCCGCTCTTCCCACTGTTCTCCTCAAATCGTCTAGTGTTAAAATGGATATCGGCGATCCACTGTCGATCCAGATGTTCATCGGGTGTCCATTAATATGTATTTTGAGTTTAGGTCCGGTAACTTTCAATAATGTTTCTTTCTTCCGTCTAATTGCCATAACCATGTAGTCGTCTGAACTTTCTGATGACCAACTGTGGTGTTCTCGTTTAACGAAACCTACTGAGTTTGCCGCAACTTGGGACCCCACATCATCCGAGGGAGTATCTTCTTCCTCGAATAGCTCATCCCCTTGGATTAGTCCAACCGGTTGTATCCCCCTCGACTGTCGTTTTCCCAAAAGTCCTCTCAAAATGCCCGACCTTCTTGCAAAAATTGCAAGTGACGGCTCTTGCTGGGCATCGTTGTCGGTGTTCTGGGGTGAAGTTCGGTTGATCGCAATTGTAACATCTGCGTTCTTGTGTTCGACCTCCTCCACGATTTGGGTATTGGCCCCGTCCCCTTGGCATTCCTCGTCCCCTGGATCCACGAATATTGCTGATTGGTTCCGTTTTGATCTGCAGGGAACCCCCTGGCGATGGATAGGCCGTTCCCGTGGAGCCGGATGCGACGCCCTTGTAAGTCTTTGCGTACTTGTCTCCTCTTTCATACGCCATCGCGATTCTCAATGCTTCCTCCCGGGTCTTAGTTTCCCGACACAGCTCGTTCTGCGCGTCCCTGTTCCTCATATTGAATATAAATATGTCTCTCACCATTTTCCGCTCCTGGGTACCCAAATTGCATCTTGCCGCCATTCTGCTAAGCTCTGCATAGAACGATTCTAAGCTTTACCCTCCTTTTGTTTCCTAGACAACATCTGGTACATCTCGTACGTTTCGTTTCGCTCTTTTTGAAAAATAGCTACACAGGTATCCAAAAAACGTGGGTATCGTATTGTTTCCATATTCAAGTGTGGATGCTGATTATGCAAGGCTCGCTGTCCCTCGTGTCCCAGGCATAGGTACAGATTCGATATCAGTGTACGTTCACCTTCTTCCATTGGTTTGCCACCAATGTCACCCAGGTCATCAATCTGTGCTTCAGTTAATGTCGATGCAAAGTAAAATTCCGACGAGACTAGTCCATGTTTCGCCACCATTGCCCAATGAAATCTTTGTTTCCAGTGTTCCCATAAGAGTTGTGGTTCCGCCTGATTCGGAGGCCAGAATGCCACAATTCCAAGGGGGTTTTTTCCCCCCTCCATCCGCTGACTGCGCCATAACAAGGGATGATAAAAACGTTGTTTGTTAAATACTGAATTGACTGATTTCTAGTTCGCATAAATAAGAGAGTGAACTAGAGGTCAACACATAACAGCTAGACAGTTCTAGACTGATTGGCAGGCAGGTACCAAACTCACACTTAATTATAATATGAGAACTCTCAGAGATAAGTAAATAAAGAATAGCAACTAAGATGATTGACAACTGAATATGTTGTAGCCCCTGACACTTCCTAGCTAATTTAAGCTAATAAGCAATGAAAACAAAATAATTATCAATTATAAAAGCAAAAATGAACAATCTGGTACCGAAAAATTTCCTATGCAATAACCCTTTAAATGTACCTAAAACACATATGCAACCAAAACACTGATCATTGTAAGTTGATACACAATAATTATACAAAAAACTTGACAAAAATTCACAACCCAATTATCTGCACCAAAAAAACAAATACAACCAGTCGCACAACATAAATTTAAAAAAAGCTTCGACCAGTTTTTAAAAAAAATGAAACTTTTCGAAAACTTTTTTTCAGGTTTAAATTTTTCAATTTAAATCGGGAGGATCTGTGAGGTTAACTTATTTTTCTTTAAATTCTTGTGAGGGCTCAATCATTCTCATTTACTATCAACAAAATTATTTAAAAAAAACAATGAAAAACAAGTAGACAGAAAAAGGCCGACCATCTTCCATCGCCAAAAAACCTACCAAAAAACTCTAGTACCGAAAAATTTACTATGCAAGAATTGTTTACGTGCACCCAAACAACATATACTGACCATTATCTCATCAGTTGTTATTGAACAGGTGATACTGCTTACCATTTCGACCATTCGGTGAACAAAGTTCTTAAGGGGAAAAAGTCTAGTGCCCGGTTGCAACACCCTTGCTTATAACAAGGGTAAGTAAGAGCCAATCAAGTTTTTCAGCAATATGCACTTTAGTTAATGGAGAGCATAACTTTTTATAACTTTGGTAAGAGATTTCGATACCTACTTCAAAAAAATTCAAGTCAAACTACAAAAAAATGAGCTTGAACAAAACTTTAATATTTTTCTGAAAAAAATGTGACTTAAATCAGTGTCTTCACGTCGTTCATCGACATGCAATAAACAAACAACAAAAAATCAAATCCCAAATTGTCCAATTCAAGTTCGGCTTTCAGCTAAATTGTTTTTGTCACCTCTACACTTTTGCTTTTTGATAGTGGAGTTTGCCTCCTTTTTAACAAACTTTCTGGAAAAAAATTGACATCAAAGAAGGTCTTCACATCAGGCTTGGAGATGCCAAAAAAAAACAACAAACATTCGAATCCCAAACTGTTCAATTCAACTTCGCCTTTCAACTAAATCGTCGTACGAACCCGAATAACCATTTATCACGATACGCCCAAAAACAAATGAGCAACTTCGATAAGTTTTGACATTCCGTTCTCAAGGTGGACTAAAAACCGAACAAAAAATTATTAAATGTTCGATTACTTTTTTGATGATCAGAAATTCGTGTAACTGTCTATATACAATCACCATAAACTAAAATAGGACAAAATATGTTTCATTTCAAACAATTCCACAAGTTTTGGCAGTTCAAGTTGAAACTTTCTCTGAGTATTCATTTGGACTCTTTCCTTGTCAATTTCGGAAGACTCCACAGGAGGTTTCATAGATGGACTCGCTATTAGTTCTATAGACTGTTTGTCGTTTGACAGTTCCTTGGCTGATTTGATCAGACCGTTTCCGCGAATCAACACACTCGCGAGGAACTCCCGTTCGTCGTCAGTTGCATGATCAAGCATAAATTCCTGAAACATAGCGCTCACGACCTCCAAATATGATCCACACTTCTTTGAAACAAAGGTCAGCATCACACTGATTGAAAAAATATATAATACTTTTTCAAATACCATCAAATCCAGCCTTTTGGAGAAATAAACCAATTGGACTTGCGTGAGGGTGCTTCCCCCTCACACAACACGCTAGTACAGTTAACAGTCAATACCTCATTCTGCCTTGCCCACTCCATAACGTGCAGACACTTGTCTATCTTGGCCTCAATGTCTGCTTTCTTCACGGCCCATTGCTTCGCCCGCTCACGCTTCTCTCGCCGAATCTATACAACTAATACATATTACATCACAAGCCATCATGGGCAATCACATTTTAGTCTAAGACTGCTTTATTTATAGCAAGCTTATAGTCATTATTTCTAAATGCCCATTTTGTTAAACAATCATAGGACCTTTTCTAAGAAAAATTTTTCAAAAAATCGACACCTGGCTTTTTCAAAAAATCGACACCTGGCAAAGCCAAGTCAGTTCGAAAAGTGTACAGAAATTAAAGAAACCGAAAAAGCGCTTGAAAATTTTTGAACATGGAATCTGGATCAACAGGCAGTTATTTTTATTGCGCTGAGAATGCAGAAAATTGAAGTCCATCTTTGCAACTAGAAGTCGTTTACCTTTTTTGTGACCTTTATACTTTTGCTGTTCGATATAGAGTTTGCCTTCCTTTTAACAAAGGAAATGAAGTGAACTTCAAAAGAAAACATTAGTCAGACCGCGAAAAATCAAATCTAATAAATATGTTCTTTACATCTAATAATGTTAATATTAGGACCATTTTAGTTTAACTATTCCGTCATTTCGAATTAAAATTCCGATATCATTCATTAGTTTTTCTGATAATTTTGAAATACAGAAAAAAATTCTCACCCTCTTTTCTTCATTCTTGTACTCCTCCATACACATATCTCGCGCCCACTTCTTGCAAATCAACTGAAACTCTCTGTCTTCCAAAATCTCACCAACCGACTTCCTCTGAAATGTTTTACAAGCAGTCTTCATTTTGTACCACAAATACTGCAGAGAAGACTCCGACAATAATTGTTCACGTTTGTCAGAAGACTGTTCACTGCTGTCAGCGTGATCATCGTGAGCGTGTTCATGTGAACAGCAGTGAGAGCACTTAGGTGATGTGATGAGTTTGCAAACACATGGCTTTACTCTGTTAGGATGACAAGGGGTCACTTCGCTTCCTAGTTTGGAGAAAAAGGCTTCTTTACAGATGCAAGTTTCACCTGAAACAAAAGCATCAACAAGATGAAATAGAACGTGTTTCAAATCCCCTTACTCAGGAATTTGACTCTTGCACAGCCCATTTTTTGAACAACTGACCATAGGAGCAATCTTAGGGCGTCTTGATTTCCAATATCTTAAGTCTGACAATCGAGAGCAAGCGGACGCTGAAGATGTAACTTATTGGCCAAAGCCTTTTGAAAAACTAAGAAAAATAAGCTCACGAATATCTAAATGAATTAACTTCTGTCAAATGGCAAAAAATGGAACTAGATACTCACTTCTGTATAGTTTTCTGCACATCATTTTTATCGCTTTCTGGTTCAGCGCCTTCAGACGATCATTATCTACTTCTGGCTTCTTAGCATCTTCTTGCAAAGTCATTTTTAGAAGGTCTGCATGTATGTCGAAGTTTTCTAGAGCCGAATCATCGTCATCGTCATTGACAGACACCGAAAAATTTTCAGGCCCTTCGGGTTCTGGGTCTGGATTTTTTATTGCCTGCCAAAAAAGAACAAATAAGCAACTTGTGCCCGAATACCTGTACTAATGGGATAATAGGGTCATATTTTAATTCACACAAGTAATAAACAGGGTATACAACTTCGCATTATCAGCCCTATACCCAAAACAGTAAGTATAAAAGCTAGGGGGAGAAACATTATAAATATTAAACTCAGTCGAAGCGAGACATGTTGATTATGAGCGACAGAAAATAATAGGTGACAAATTTGGATTAAAAAACCCAACAACAAAGAGATACGAAAAAATACAAAGGTTGCAAAGCTTTGTATGGTTTATAAACTAGAAAATCCTTGTCAAAAAATGGACTTAGGAATTGCTTACAGGAATAAGGATAGCCGGTTGCTGCGCAAGTAGCACAGACTGATTTGATCACAGGACAGACTGTTCCATGATCTGCCAAATAGAGTTAATTATAGCAAAAATCGCGTCCAAACACAGTAGAATTAGATAGCAACCTCTCTCGCTCAATCATTGTCTCTCGTTTTTAGACATATAAATTAGTCCGAAAAGCAAAAAAAAATTCGAACCAATTTTTCCCGAAAAAAAAACAACTTTTTCGAACTTTTTTGACAAATCCTGATCGCAAGGCTGAAAGGGCTTTGGTAGGATACCATACTTGATGCCTTACGAGCTATTTGAGATAGTTAAATTATGGCAAAAAAAAACACCCTAGGCCATGTCTCGACTGAAGCAACGCTTTGAAAAAAGAAACACTTCCAGATTTCATTTAATTGAATTCTGATCAATTTTCAAACGCTGCATTTCAATAGTACAGATATCCCTTCCATTTGGATTACTCTCAATGCAGTATAGTCTTCTGTATACGTAGAAAAAACTTCTGAATTAATATTTGCCTGGAAGATTTGGCTTCCTTTTTCACGCAACTACATGCATGAAAGTTCGATCTGTCTCAGACAAATTTGTGATGCTTGACTAGCGATAATTGTTTGATACTAATGCTCGATCAATGAACTGTAGAAAAAATTGTTATTTAAAAATTGACCTGCATCGATATCCTGCCAATGTGAGAAATAAGGCAGCCTTTTCAACTAATGGATGGCAAAGTAAGATCTGATCTGTTCATGCCTCGTTCAACCTAAGCGTGCTGTTGTCTTTTTTATTGAGGAAACTTCAGCTTCTGGCTGAGTGAACTAAACAAAGTTGAGAAAAGCTCATACCTTTCGTTTTCTGATCTTGTAAGTGGTAAGATGCAGTCGTTTCCGCTGTTTTCCACACATGACAAACTGTCTGGCCACATTTAGCCGCTCCAACTGTAGATACTCAAGCACAGAGTCCAACATCAATTCAGTGCTGTACTTGCTGTTGTCTGGATTCAAATTCAGAAAGTTCTCGGCCGCTCCCGATGCCTGGGATCCTTCTTTTGATGTCGAAGCATTTGAAGGTGAAGCCTGCCTATCTGCATTTTCGTTTGCGTTATTATTTGAAGATGGTAAAGCTTTCAGTTCTTCTTTTGAATTGAACATGCTGAAATTGGCATAAGTAACTTGCCAGAACTTGAAATTCTATTCAAGGGTTTTGAAAAAGCAGTTTATTTTTGATGATCGAGAAAAAACTATGGCCAAGCATTAACTAAAGATTAAAAGAACAGCTTATACGAATCATTTCGATTCACTGAATTTTCAAGAAAAACTCAGTTCTAGCTTTATTCCAAATTTTTTCAGCATTTTTTTAAAATGAAACAAACGATCGAATCCGGTTTCTGTGCAAGTAGCAGAGAAAGATCTTACCATAGTAATTCTTAAATTTAAAATTGATTAAAAAAACATTTAAAAATTTTTTTTCAAATGTTTTTTTTGTGGTTGTAGGCAGAAAGGACAAAAAAGGCTTATACAGATTTAAAATGGTTTCGTTTCAGCTGACTCCGATATCCACAATTTTTTTTCCAATTTTTGTTCCGACCACTGAAAGTGGGGAGAAACTTTGTCTTGGGTGTTTTATTTTTTCCCACGCAAAAGCAGGCCTCACAAATACCCATCGAAATAAATGGATTGATATATTTTTTAAAGTTACATTTTTTTGGTTGCAACTTTCAGTGCTTCTTGCTCAGCAATCATCTACCCGTTTTAATGTTGTTTTTTTTGAAATTTTCGTGCTGTACAACAATCCTATCTACTTTCAGAGGTCGGAACCTCACATACCTGAACATTTCGAACGAGGATGACTGATACTTTATCAATTGCATCAAAGATGGCGGCTGAATTTCAGTGCACTGCCTACACACTATTTCATGTCCTCCCTCGCAATGGGAAACTGCCTTGGAAGAGGTCACGCCAGCCGAAGCTGAAGCCGCAGCTGACTCGGTTAGCTGTCGCAACTTCTTTTTCGTTTCCGATTCAGCATCAGAAACTTTTTGCTCATATTTTTTCAGATCGAACCCTTTTGTTTTGTTCAGAGCCATGTTTGCGCTCTGAATCAACGTGGCTAGTTTTTGTTCGCTTGTAGAATCAGGCCCCAGCGTGTTTAACAGTCCTTCGTCCGTATTCTTCGTAGCATTCTCCTTTGTCTTCGACGTGGGCTGCGATTGATTAGGCGGTGGGGGCTTTGTCTTCTCCATTTTGGCAACCATTTCAGCAGCTGCATTTCTTCCTACAATGGGAACCGGAGACCTTGTATTGATATTTCCACTTTGACCTTTCTCCAGGACAACCCCTGACAGGCTGGTGTAATCGGCGTACAACTTCGCATTATGGTCTAGATTTTTGAGAAAAGGGGCTATCCTTGCCTCAACACTGCTTCTAGATTGCTTTGAACTACCTTGCTGGAGCTTCACTGAATCTGGTACAGTATTTGTACAGTTAGAACTCGAAGATGCTGCGTTAGAATTGTCGACAGGAACTGATGACTGTGAATTTGCGTCTGTTTTAGACGTTGATGAGGATGTGTTGTTCTGAGTTGAAGTCGCAGTAGTTCTTTTAGGTCCTCTTTTATTTTTTCCCATTTTTAGTTTAAAACGAATTCAATTCTATTGATCTGAAAACATCAAGTGCGTAAGTTAATTAATTTCTTTCCGAAATTTTCAAATAAAAACTTTGATTTTTCAGATGTAAATGAGGATGACGGAAGGTAAATGAGTTCAATGAAAGGTGGCGAATTGAAAAACAAAGAAAAGCCAAACAGAATATCCGTCCGTAAAAAGAGCAGCAGGCGGAACAAGTCAACTCTACCTTATCATGATGTTTATTAAAAGGTAAGCCAATATCATCTTTTTAATTGGTAGCTAATTTAGACTGCAATTCCAGGCAAATCTAGGAAAATTGAGTTTTTTTATCAGAAGCAGCTTAGTAAATTTACTACCCAAATTAATTACATAACGTGACAGAAAGCAGACGCTTTTAACTCAAGGTAAATGTTTATATTTTGGTCAAACCTCTGTTTAACTGTTTATAGATTTGAAAAATCAGCGTGTACCTTCCTATACCTGTCCTCCCTCTCCCCTATAGGGAGAGACGACGCTTTCTTTGTGGGATTTTTTCATTAATTTTCTCCCTCGGATTCTCCCCCTTCATTTTCCCCCTTTCTCGCTGCAGGTACACTGTGCTGTTGCTGTCTGTGGTGGTGTTTGTGGCCAGCAGTATTCTGCTGTTGGTGCTGTCTATATCCACCAAGTACTGGAAGTATGTCCGGGTCACCAAGGTCAACAAAACGAGTGAGGTGGTGCTCCAGATGTCCAACAGTGGCCTATTCCACACATGCTATTCACTCAACCTCCTAGGTCAGCTTGTCTACTCTTACTACCTTTCACTACTACTACTTCTAATATCATTACTACTAACACCACCATAACTACCAAAACTACTAGAACACTAAGTTAATACTCAGAGGCAAAGCTGCACCTCGTATTCAACCAAAAAACCACAAAAAATAGCTCTGAACAAAAAAGCCCAAAATTACACAAATAAAACCGTAGAAAAACTAAGACTAAGTTGAAAAAAAAGACTAAAAAAGCAAAATCTGCAGAAAACTCTGCATTGAAACCACTCTAATTAAGAAAGGATAGCTAAAATAGAACCTCATTTGTTCATAGAAATTGAACACAGAATTTTGTGACTTACATTGGCAAGGAAGGGACTCTATTTACACAAAACAAGCCTTCCTTGTAAAATTATTCTTGCTTAAAATGTCTCTGCTTAAAATGTCTCTAAAAAAGTGTTTCTGTTGCGGAGCAAGCAGCATAAAATTCTCCGATTCAACATTTTTTCCGGTGCTAGTCCATGGTCAAAAATTCAAATATCCTCACCACTAGGTTGCATAAAAAAAATAAATTTTGATCATTTTTTTTATTTCATTTCAAAATTAGCGTTCGAATTAGCGAAAAGGTTTCCTCGAAAATTTGTTCACCCTTCAATATGTTCAATATTTATTTGCGCTAATACCAGTTAGGCCTTTCCACGACAGATTAGCAATCATTGAAGCAAGCAAAAAAAGAAAATGGTCAGTGCCCGTGCTGCACTTTCAACACTATTTGCCGGCCTGCTTTTGGCTTGCTGCCTTGGTCGAGTGAAGAAATAAGTAGTCGGGCTAGGGTAGGGGACTGGGGTTTGACGGGGTGGGAATTGGTTGGAAGGGGAAATTAAAATGCAAAACGTCACTTCTAATTACTTGGCTAGTTAACATTCCATTCCCTCCAGTGACAACAGGGCTAACTTGCCCACCAGAAAAGATTTCTCTGACAGTGTTGAAACAATCGCTTGCATTGGAAAAAGGATGGGTGAAAAATCAAGCACATGAACAATACTGGGCTCGGTAATTTTTTTTAAAAAAATCACGCAATTAAGATTTTTCTAAGGGCGCCTTTGGCGCCAATATATACTAATTTCGACAGGGGAGCGAGCGCGTCGAAAAAACAATGTTTCGGTCAAAATTTTCCAAAAAGTGCCTAAAAACGCCTTTTTTGGCCTATTTTTTCAAAATTTTGCCTGTGGCGCAGAAAATTTGGCGAAAATAGGGACAAAACAGTGCTTTGGGAGAGCTCGAAAAATCAATTTGGTCGACCTAAAAAAAAAAAAAAGGTCGACAAAATTTTCGAAAATTTTTTGAAGATCCGCCCCCCCTCGAGAAAATCCTAGATCCGCCCCTAATCATGAACATGACACATGACACAAATTAGAACCCACCGACACATTCTGATTGTTTGAAGTTCAAAAAAAATTAACCTGACTTCGAGGATTTTCTCGAGGGGGGGGGGGGGATTTTTAAAACATTTTTGAAAATTTTGTCGACCTTTTTTTTAAGTCGACCTAAGTGATTTGCCGAGCTCTCCCAAAGCATTTAAAAAACCTGTTCCGTGTTATGGTAATTTTTTTGCGCCGCAGGCAAAATTTTGAAAAAACGGGCCAACAAAAGGCATTTTTTGAAATGCAAAATTTTAACCAAAAAACTCAGTTTTTTTCGGCGCGCGCTCCAAACCCCACCCCCCACCACCTCCCCCCTCAAAATAAGTATATTGGTGGTGCCAAAGGCGCCTTTAGAAAATTTTTAGGGACCATCACCGAATATAGATATCTCAAACAAACTAGTACAAAGAGGGGAACCTTTGGGTTGGCAGGGTGGCCGCCCCCCCCCCCCCTAAATCCGCCCCTGGGCGTGGAACAAATTTAGAAATCTATTTCCCTATATAGTATTGAGTTCAAGTGTATGCCTTAAATGTAATTACAAATGCACTTGAAAATCTGAAGACGACTTGCAATAGAAATTGAGTAACCTCATAAGCTCCACGTTGCCCTAATTGCTTTGGATATTTTCCTCAATTTAAGGCGCAAGTTTTGAATCAGATATGGCATTTCGTGCCTTCAAAAAGAGCAATGCACATTTGCGCTGAAAATTTTTTCTACTTGTGAACCTGTAGTTTGCGAGCAATAAATGCATTTAGCAGTCAATTAAAATCAGAAGAGAATTCGACTTTAATCGTCTCTTGGTGCAAAAAAATATAGACACATAACGGAAGGCTTGTTCGCTATGTCACCTACTCTTAAAAAATACTCAACTTTTCATAAAATGAAAGCGCTATTGGAATGTTCGCTAGTGTAGTTTTATCAGACAATTTACCATAAAACAATCAGAGGGCCTAACTCTCCTTGAGCTAATCAATCAGGACTATTTGTGGAAAGTGTCTGTAAAACCTGGAATCCTAACAGCTTTTCATCTAGCCGAAACTCCACAAGACAGAAGCAAAAGATTATTGATCTGCTATGTAAAGCTTTCGAAGTTAGTTTTTCAGATTGAAATGAGTTGTTCATCGGTATCATAAAAGTAGGCAAATAGGATACGCGAGTGGGGGGATAATTCGATTTAGGGGGAGTTAATTTAATGAGCGGTTGGTCGATTTGCTGGCCGGCATTCCAACAGTTGGTTCCAAAGGGGCTCTCACGTGGTTTGGAGAGCTCTCAAATGGCAGCTTAATTATGCCTTTGAATTACTTGGGCTAGTGCCAATCAATTATAAACCTGTCGCCCTTCTCAATTCATTCTATTCACAAATCAGACTCCGCCCGCCCCTCCCCTTTTGGGCAAATTTGGGCTCCGATTTCTGTCAGAGTATCTAGTGAATGCTAATCAGTAAAAAAGCAGACTGCAAAATATCGCAATCTAACGTAGCATTTGGAAGCAAGCATGAATGTATACGAAGGTTCAATGCTATCTGTTCTGGTAGACTAAAAAACTATGCATTTCATTGACTTGCCAGCGAGACCTAATTAGTAAAACTTGACAACCATATTCTCAGAAACATGCACATTTTCATACCATAGAAGCAAATTTAACTACATTTACAAGAATAGAAACTAACAACTTGGGGGTAAAATGACAAAAAGTGTAGTATAGGGACTGCTTGACTGGTTGCTTTCTCTCCAACGGAAGAACCTCTCGAACTGAAGAGGCTGATAATAATAATTCTTCGGGGCTAGAATGGAGGAAACTGTTCATTGACTCTTTCCATGTCAGCAGTTTTGCCAACAGAACAAAATCAATCACTATTGCTGCACTTTCGCTTTGTTACACAGATGCTCATATCTTATTTCGATAGCCGACTTTTGTTTTTGGGCGCGCCAGAAAATTGCTAGGCATACATCCTGCGGGTATATTCATCTTCAGAACAATTCTCACAATTCCCCTTCGTTTCCTTGAGGAAAAATATCACTCAACTAAGTGATTACTGTTCATAATCAAGTCTATCTACTTTCGCATTGACTATTTTTCTAGATCGCACGAGACTTGGCGATATGTATAAGAGCGTTGCGACCAGAACTCATTCTCCTAACTTCATCGAATTTCCGCATTGAGAGATAAAAGAAAAAATTTCTTCAACAAAAAAATCAAACCATTTCCAGACTGGCTCGCGAAACTTCTTTGAAAAAAAGATAAAAACAAATTTGAGCTTACTTTTAAGTGAATAATGATTGGGCAGAAAATCGTTTTTCACTTACTAGGAAATAAAAAAAACAGCGAAAGATATTGAGTAGAGTAAAAAAAGACAGGAATTTAGTTTAGAAAATGTTTTGCTAAATATTTGTTCTCTAATTGACCTCTGAGAAGTAGGAATGACCTAAGATATTAATTTGAACGCAGTCGATCACAGAGAAAACTCCTCGTGTAATAGAATATCCGGTAACTGTGCCATACAGACAATAATTAGATGAAAAAAAAATCAAATGTTTTATGCAGTATTTCGCAAAGGCTTGTTGGTTTTTAAGGAGCTATTAATTAATCTAACTAAAGTAACTATCAAAAGATGAAACACTGCACAATATTTATGCTTTTTGAATGTCAGTTGAATGAAGTTATCGCAAATTTAAACAGCTCTTGTTATTCCGACCACTTCACGGAGTTGGAAACAACTAGGAAGTAGGATACATTTTTCCGACATATTTCGACTATCTCAAAAAATTTTGTAGGGGGTCAAATTTGGTATCATATAAAAGCTCTTTCCGCCGTGATTCGAACTCCCAATAAACAAAAAAAACTGAGCCCAGAAAAAAAGATTGTTTTTATTTTCAGACCAATTTGGCCACATCGAAAATGATGAAATTTCTGCTTTGGCATGGTCAAATGAGTGCGCAAACTATTGTGCGAAATTATTCATTCAACAAAAATTACTGTTCATTACATTTGTAATTTGGTTTCAATCGACTATAATTTAAAGCGATTAAAATGATTACAGAAAAGATTCAAAAAAGTTCATACAAACACTAATCTAGGGTGAACGTTGCCCAAAAAACAAATTCGGGTTCAACCGTACAATCTGCCCCCCCCCCCCTAAATGCCGCACCGTAGAATGTCCTCCTCAATCATGTATTAATTTTGAAAATTAATTTCGCATATATACTGCTGGAGGAATTTTTTGTATACCAAATAGCTATTTTATCCTGTTAATAGCGTAAAATATTAAGCATATATTGGTATCGATTATTTTTTTTGACTATTTAGATCAAACTATTTTGCTCTCTAAGACAATTTCTGAAAAACCGGTATTTCATCTCCCGTAAATTGATTGGGGGGAAGGGGGGTGCAATTTAGGGGGGTGGTGATCGCAAATTCGAAAACGTAGCTAAAATTGTCTACCTATAGTTTTCTAGCTTTTTGTCAATAAAGCAGCCGGTCGCAGTGCAAGTAGCCGAAAAAAAAGGCTTCGATCACAGATATCGTTGCAAAAATCAATAAAAAAACGGTCGGAAATTTTTCAATTTTGTTTCTGGTTACTTTTCCCTTCGTCTGGCCAAAATATGCAGCAGCAAATATATATTTTAAAAATCTAACACTTCATGTTTTGCAGCGATCGTTGTGGTCAAAACCTTTTAACGGTATTTCCGTGTCAGACGGTGGTAGGCCAACAAGACGAAAATATATACTGTTATGCTGCATAGCAACAGCTTGTCGCTGTTGTTATGCAATTGCTACGTAGTTCTGATGAAATGAACGTTATTATGACGTAACTTCGGCATCAAGGTATGGCGGTTTGTTAAACATCCGCCATGGCAGAAGTTCTGCACTAATAAGAGATCCAAAATCAACTTACTACAACAGCCTAATTAACATTAAAAAATCAATATTTTATATTAAATATACTTTTTCGAGTTTTCTCATACATCGCTGAAATAACGACTGAAAGCGCTTGGATATGATATACCTCTGGACTCCATCTGACGTTTGTTTGTCGTTTCTGATTTAGCGTGAAAGAAAAACATCTGGAGCCGGAGTTTCTTACCACTTTCAGTGGTCGGCACACACATCTTTTGTTTAAAATCTTTTCTTTTGATTATCAGCCGGTTTATAGTGACAAGCTCTTAGGAACGAATTGTCAACTATCCTTTCAAAGATCTTCTAAGGAACCCAGGACTTAAAAATTATCATGTCACGCTTTCTTATAAAACATCTTGAGCACATTATACATTTTCCATTGATCAAGCCAGAATACTTTGCACCATATTGCCTTTTCTTTTTCAAACTTCAATGCTTGTCATAGTTTCTCCGAAATTCAATTTGGCCCAATGCGAATATAAATCTGTTCACAATCATAACAAACAGTCGTCATTCCAAAATTCACCCTGAGGCAAGGAGCTGTTTTCCGCCATAAAGGTATAAAAGATAAAGTGAGATAAAAATAAAAGAGTGATCAATCGAAGTCTAACCTCCTGAGATCAGAAAAATAAAGAACAAACAACAACAAATATACTGGGCACAAAACAGCACGCCAAGTACAGAGCAAAAAGATATCGATCCCATACGTTACGAGCACCTCTCAAAAATTGGGAATCTTTTCCTTAAGGGGTTGTACTTACGCCCCCACAACGCCAATACACCTACGGAATAAACTTCCCAAACTGTAGAAATATACCACTGGCGAACATGTAGTTTACACAATAGTGTCAAACATATCTGCTATGTTCACATAAGGGATATTTCTGCCGAATGAACTTGAGGCTACTGGGGCACGAATGATGTTGAGAATTGAATTGTTTTGTTCAGTGCTTTCTTCAAACCGGTCGGAGTATGTAAGGGGGGATGGTAAATCAAAGGAGGGCAATGCATACCAACTGAGCTCAGACGGACAATACGCGTCATCGGAGCTGATACGCCGGCAGTTAGATTGCTGCCCCGCTCGCACTAAATGCAGTGATACGTTTAGTCCTATTATATCAATACAACTGGTCTTGATTTCTACCGTCCAAATTACATGTCACTTTTGAAGTTGAAAAATAGCTTCGATGAAATTTAAAGGAAAGGTCATTCTCTGAGCTAATAATTGTCTTCGAACTTTTACTGTTTTCATGATGCTTTTTTAAAAAAAATCCTTCTAACCGCAAATCGTCATCGCCCATGTGTGACCTACAGAATAAGCGCATTTGACAAGACAGGAGTTCTTTATGAATAGAAGGTGAAAAAGACCCAAGCGAAGTGTTGACGGTATAAATATAAATTGTTCTTGTTTTGCTTCAGATCCAATCTACGGGTGTCAGGGTATTGTGCTTCCCAACATTGAGAACACGAGTGACAACAACGCCATCAATGCATACTGTGAGTCAACACTGCGGCAGTAGTAACTCCGATGTCAAGATATTAGATACTATCGGACCAAAATTAGCTCTTTACTAAGTTAGAAAACTATGGGGATTAAATATCCGTTAGTTACACTACGACGGACTACCGATAGTTGCAAACTATTTGCCAATCTTGGCCAGTTCTTTTCCTTACGATCCATTTCAATATTGATAGTGATAATAAATGACAAAAACGGTAATTTATTTGATGCAGACATCACTCTGTTGTCGTTGGTGTTCCCTGTGGTGAGTGCAGTGACCCTGGTAGTGGCCACTGTGGCCTGCTTCTATGGCTTCTGGTCCAAAAACAGACGCACCAGTCTCCTCTTCGCATCCCTCTTCTACGTCACTTCAGGTCAGTAACCAATCAAAAACTAACCACTGGCTTTACTAAATATAGCCATGAGACAATTGGAAACGTGTCAATGAACGCAAGGAAAACAAAAAAAAACGTTTTGAAAACATCAATCAAAAACAATTTGTTAAACCGCTGAAAAATCTTACAATCCAATTATAAGCTAGAAGTAGTTCAAGTTTTTTGCGCCATTTCCGCGTTCGTAATTGAAGAGCGTAATTTGTCTTCCTTTAAGCAAATGAAGGTCAAATTTGGTGTGAAATAACTTTATAACTTCTTCCTGAAAAAGTAACAAAAACAATGGACTTGACCTAAGAAGTGGCTTCACTACATTCATTGGCACTTAATAATTATAGCCAGAGTGATCTGGACCCTTCTTTCACAATTGGCCTTAGCAGGGACCCCACAATCACAACTATACAGCAGAAACGAAAAACACATCGAATGAAATTTTAACACAGAGGCGAAGTTGCACTTCGCATACACAAGCAAAAATATGACCGATAACGCTACTGGGAAAAACTGAATGAGTAAAACTTTGAGTAAAATTTCTCAAATGACGCACGCCAATTATGAGTCTATATAATTGCTAAGTTACGCAAGCTAATTATGACTAATTAGCAGTACCAGACAATTTGAAAAAAAAAATTACCTACTAACATGCCTCAACTTATAGAGCGGACGCATTTTAACTAGCATACGAAAAAGTTCATTAAAAACATCCGACCCTTCCCAGGTTTGAACCCTTTTATTTTGTTGTGGGTCTCCTTCCCAACCTCTACGCTATAGATCCATGATACCTTGAAGCTAAAGCTCTATTTGTAATATAATAGTCTGTGTTAATATCCTTAGCATTGGCTGTAAACTTAATAGCTAGTTATTGATCAAAACGAGTACTTTTAAAATGAATATATTTTGTGGCAACAAAATTCGCGACTTAGCTTGGAAAAAAGATAGTTCATTCTATAAAACAAGCTTTGCTTGTGTAAAAATGTACATTAGATTTTTCGTTTGAAGACCATCAGCTAAACGCACCATCAGCTAAAACTGCTTTTAAAGCATCGATGAACAACGATATCAAAAAAATCTAACAAGGATAGACAGCTGCTGTGCAAATAGCAAAGTCATGACCATACAATGTGAACATAGCAGAACTTTGTTACACAACAAAAACATAGCCATTGAAATTAGTGCGCATAAAATGAAAACAAGACGACCGGTTTCAAAAAAAATTGAAGAAAAAATGCCAAAAATTATATCTATCATAAATTTCACATATTTGTCGAAAGTTGTCATGAACAAAAGCCCTTTTGAGAAAAACATATCAAGAAGGAAAATTGAACGTTTCATAAGTATAGCAGCAAAGATTTAAGAAGCGATGACAAAGCCGACAATAACTGAGCGAACACCCAATAAGCCGGAAAAAAAATTACTTAAAAAAAACGACAATAAAATATCTTAAGTCCCTTCCCTCAAAACACACACAAACACACTTAGGAAAATAAATCGCTCGTACGACGCATTTAGAGGCCCCAAAGCCGGTATAAGATACGCAGAAACCTTTGGAGCAGATTAAGTAAAAAAAATGATAACGAAACTTCAACAAATCGGGGTTGGTAATTTACAAACAGCGTATGACAACTTAAGAAAAAAACGGGTATTTTAAAACTCAGACATGCTCAAAATCTGTCTTCTGATTGACGAAAATACAGATTGGAAGACCAACTTGGAGATTCTGTGATTAAAGTTATTTACGAGAAAAATGGCTAATAGCCGGTTGCAAGGGGAAAAAGAAATTCAAATTTTCAAAAAATTTGATTTTTCAATTTAATTTTTGTTTTCAAATTTTATTTTTTTTAAATGAAAGGAGATTTAAAAAAATTCGCAAAAACCAGTTAATAGTAGAGAGAAATTTCCATACTAAAAACAATAAAATCACACTAGTTTTTCCCAACTAAGACTATTTTAGAATCCAAATCACCAAATACAATTACTTTAGTACGACACCACACTTGACCGCCGACGAGCATTTTGTGGCGTACTCAAAATCGGCTGGAAAAAAACAATGCCCTTTCATGAAGTGGTCGGAATAATAACCAAGTTTAACTTGTCCACATGCCTTGTTTCAGGCTTATTGAACGTGGTCGGCCTAATGTGCTACATCAACAGGACGAACGACGAGTTAGGCCAGATGAACAAGAAAGAGGAAAACACAGTTGCACTTTATTACTATGGCTGGAGTTTCTACATGGCCACAATTAGTTTCGGATTCACCGAAATATCAGCCGTTCTTTGTATTTACTTTTACAATGAGTTACTTCGCATCGCCAAACAGATTATCCAGGATAGCAACAACGCCTGTCAAAAAGAGGCCAGCTATGATGCCAACAACTCTTCCCAAAATGCCACTCCAAAAACCAACTTCCCGCACACGGCTATTGTTCACAGCAACAGCGTGCACAATTTCTTTCCAAACCAGAACTCAAACGTCAATGGGTTCGATCCCACTCTTGAGACGTCGTCAAAACTCTCCGCCAACCAATTCTCCTCTCTTGGCACATACGTAACAACAAACAACATTTACGGCGAGCATTACGTGATACCAGCCATGACGTCACAACTTCCTAACAACCACGTCGGAGGTCATTCGGGTTCATCTTTGCCATCTCGTCCATCCTCGTCAGTTGCGATGATTCCTATGAGTTCAATGTCTGTCTCATCGGCTAACAGGAACGCGATGGATTCGAACGCAACTCTCGACTGCCAACAACAAACACTTCAGCAGACATCCTCGCTCACAAACTTCACTCCCGTTCTCCTGGCCGAACAGAGCCACTTAGCCGACAGCCATACCATTGGGTTCCAACACCCTTTACCAATCAGAATCCAGAAACAGAGTTCAATCTCATCCAGTGCTTCCAGTCCACCTCAGGTCCAGGGCGTGACCGGAAACAACGTTGGGTACTGCAACGGAAACATTCCCGGCAACAATTTCCCTGTTTTCGCTACTCCCCAGCATCTTATAGCTCCATTAGGAGGAAATATGGCACTTGTCGCTACTCAAGGCGGCGGAGGGATCGGCTCAGCGGGAATCGGGGGTGGTGGTGCTAAATCATTCTTGGTCAACGACACAACAGTGTAGAATATTACTTACTACTTCGGAAATGTCTGTTCTGTATAGAGATATTTGATATCGTGTTCACAAAAGACAACTTCAAACTACACATTTGACTTTGCTCTGAGTATTTTTATCAAGTACGAATTGGTATTATACATTTTACATTAAAATTACTCCATACCCAAGTGCACCTACCAAATAATTAAAATTTTCGAAACAAAATTTTTTTCAACAGAGGAAGCTGAGCTTCGCATTACTTGCGATACAACAAGCATAAGAGTAAAACTGCAAGACGCTAAAAAAGCAAAGACTTCGAGCGAAGACAAAATTGAATGAGGAATTAGAAAAACAAAAATTAAAAAAATAATTTAAAAAAGTTCATTGTGACATTCATTAAGATTTTTCAAGAGGACAAGAGTCGACAACCATAAAGCAGAAAAATTGGAATACAACAGTAGTATAGCACAAAACACTAGCAGACAGAATATGAGAATAACGGCGCTATGTTGAGTGAAAAGCTAAATCTACAAACACTTTCATATATTTGCATCGATTTGTCTGGAATAAAAATCATTTTTCACAAAAACAAAATGCCAAATAAGTCAACTGAACGTTGACATTGCATCTCAACAAACATTAGGTAGCGGTAACAACCCAACAACTCTAAATGCGAGAAAATTAATCGCATGGGTAAAAATTCCCTGCTCATGAACCGAAAAATCAAAAATTTTTGTGAAAAGTTTTATAAATAAGTGGAAAATACAAATAAATTTAAATACGCAATCTTTACAATTGAAAATGTCAGATGCGTAATTTTAAAAAATCAAAGACAAAAACTGAACCAGAAGCTGGGATAAAATGTTTTTGAAAAAATATGGAAAAACAGAGCCAATATAAAGTTGAAAAAATTGTCAAGAACACAAATAAACCGAAATATGAGACACTTTTGCATTTTTGAAGTATTTTTAAACCAAAAATCATCTTCCTGAAAGCTGTTTCAAATTCAAGAATTTTTCTTGTATGATGCTTTTTGATAAAACTAGCCCAGTTTGAGACAGCATAATCAAAATTTTCATTTTTATTCCTTGAAGTGAATTTTAAATATTAAAAATAAAAGTCAATAAAAAGTCATATTAAAAAAAGTCATATTAGCCAATAAAAAATCATATAAAAAATAAAAGTCATAAGAAAAGTCCAACCGCAAAATGTAAATAGAAGAAACAAAACGAGCTAGAAAACCAACTGAACCACAATAAGTGTTTTTAGTTTGCGCATTGACACTACTGGCATAATGAAAAAAAAACAATGGTCGGAACAAAAATTGGAAATGATTATTTAAATCTTTCAGTGTAATCTATTCTCGCAAAAAACTTTTATTTTCAAACAGATAGAAATTTAACGCACAGCAAAAAAAACTTAATTTTACATAGAGGCAAGTTGCACTTCGCATACAAAAGCAAAAATATGACCGATAACGCTACTGGGAAAAACTGAAAGAGCAATACTTTGAGAATACATATTTTCTAAGTGACGCATGCCAACTATGAGTCTATATGATTGCTAAGTGACGCAGCACAATTATGACGCATAAGCATTACCAGTCAATTTGAAAAAAAAATTAACAACTAGCAAGCCTCAGTTCATAGTGCGGACGCATTTTAACTAATATACGAAAAATCATTTAAACATCCGACTCTGCCCAGGCTCGAACCCTGTTATTTTGTTGCGGGTCTCCTTCCCTACCTCTACACTACAGATCTATGACACCTCGAAGCTAAAGTTCTATTTGTAATAAAAAATAGTGTGTTAATATCCTTAGCATTGGCTGCAAACTTTATAGCTGTTTTTTTTTTGTCAAAATGAACACTTTCAAAATAAATACATTTTGTCGCTACAATATTTGCGTCGCAACAATATTTCCGACTTAGGTTGAAAAAAAAAGAGTTCATACTATCACACAATCTTTGCTTGTGCGAACAAAATTTTCCGTCTTACAAGTCATTTTCTATCAAATCTGGCATTTTTGAACATATTTCAAAATCATTGACATAAAACGCGCATTTCTGTAAAACAACATCCATAAATAAAATGATCGTTTTGTTTAAAAGCCGTTTTTAGAAAAAAAATACGAAGATTCAAAAAACACTAATTGAAATCGAGTAGCTTCTATTAAGATTCGATAAAACTTGCCAATTAGAAAAAAAAATGAGTTGCAGTGTGACGGAAGGAGCTAAGACCGAGGAGAACGCAGAAAATGTCTGGCTGGTTTTTTGAAAACAGTTCAACTCTTGGAATTCCAAGAAAAACATATGGAGTTAAAGCTCTTCGAGTTTCAAGAACATTTCAAGCTTGAGATTTTTTGAAGTAAACCAATTTGAAATTTCCCAATCTTCTATAATTAGCAGATTTCAGATAAATTAAACCTAATTGGAGGAAACTGGATGAATAAGTCACTTTCTCAATGTTCCGGAAAACCTTTGCACTAAAATGTATATTTGAAATTCAAAGTCGTTCACTCTATTTCACGCCAATTCGCTTCGTCAAGTAAAAATCAGATGCCAAACCAAAAGAGATCAAACTTGGAAGTAATAAACTTGAAGAATTTTTTAAAATACAAGTGGAATAACAAATTTATCTATTGATGCACGTTTCTCAATTTGAGTTGAAGCTATCAAAAGAAGTCAAAATCATAAATTGTTGTCTTGAATTTCGAGGATATTTAGGGCCAATTATTTGTCTGTGAAATTCGAAAGTTAGAAGAATTTTGATACAAAAATAGACAATAGTTCAATATGTTCCAATGCAACAATCAAATATATCTCTTTCCTGTGTTTTAAATTTCTACAACTCATAGTTAGCTCATGTTTTTTTTTCGGTGCAGTGTTTTTGTGAAGTAACTATGAGCAATAGGAATTCAAAACACAGGAAACAGGTATATTTGATTTCAAACTTTCGAATTTCACAGAAAAATATAAGGCCCTGAATCTCCTCGAAATTCAAGACAACAATTTATGACTGAGATTTTTTTGATAAAATTAACTCAAATTGAAAACCGTGGTTCAATAGATAAATTTGTAATTCCACTGCTATTTTTTAACATACATCCACCTCGAAATCCTCTAGAAGTTGTTCAGGTCTTTCGTGACCTTTGCACATCCGCTGTTCGTTAGTGGAGTTTGCTTTCCTTTTAAAAAAAGGAAATGAACTGGAATTGAACTTGAAAAGAAATCAAAATCCAAGCCGCCAAAACCAAACTTTAGCGTGATCAGTTTAGCTTTCTCCTGAAAAAAACCATGACCTATATAAGAGTGTTCACTTCGTTCATTGACTGGAAGACCTTGAAACGAATTACACTTTAGCTCAGATTTGCTGATTCGGAGTCAATCGCTGCTCCAATCTGCTTTACTTTATGATACATACAAACCGCTAAGATTGGCTAAATACAAGCAGCAATGAACGAAATTTTTAATGGAAACTTAACTAGAGAAACCGAGCACAAAAATGAGCGATTTTGATTTGAACAGAAGCAAACTTGTATTATGACACACGCTCCGTGTAGCAAGCGAAGCAAAGGGAGATGATGAGAGGCGACCTTTCTTCGTCGATTTCTTTGAAACGTTATCGACCGAGTGCATTTTTTTGAGCTGTCTAATCACTCATTGGTTAAATCCTGAGGTACCAAAACAAATAGATAGTTCAAAAAAAAAATTTTCAAAGAAAGCGGTCATCTTCATCATAATATCGGACATCGGAGACTTCTCACAGAATATTCTCATATTTTTTACAAGCTACATTATATAAAAGATTAGATTTAAAACTATTTAACTTTCAAACGACAATCAATTGACACACTAAGCACTATTCGTTGCCATCCATCAGTGGGCAATCGCCTACCCATTTACAAGTGTCATTTTTCTTCCTGATATCCCATCCGTGTTCTGAATCCAGATGCATCATGTGCTGCTCTGTTTTCGACTCAATGGAAGTAGACAGCAACTGAGCGCCATCATAGCAGAAAATTTGCAGATGGCTGTCACGCATTATGCTTCCAAAAAAGGAATTTAATATTGCTGTAATCTCTTGCATCAACTTTTAGGTCGAAATGATCAAGCGGAAAAAAATATTTCTCCATATTATGCAATTTAGTTAATAAACAAACAAAATTTCTATCATAATGTTATAATTGTCTAGAAAAATATAACGAAAAAAAATGAATTTTAATTTTTTTTGAAAAAAAAAATTCAATAGTTTTCTAATTCAGATAAAATTTGATGACATTCTTCGCTTGAAAAACGGTAAGATAGCAGAAAAAGTTATCAGCTTTTGCCAATAATGAGAAAAGTTTTCTAAGCTCACCAACTACAACTCAAAATCGTTGAAAACGTCGAGATCTCAAAAAGTAGTAAGATTTGATAGACCACAATTTTTTAGCGCTAGGAGCTTTGTTGAAATTCAATTAGTTTGAAAAAAAAACGTATTAAAAATGCTATGTATTATATCCCAATTCCAAAAATTTAATTATCCCCAAACTTTGTTAATTCATTTTTTATATTGAAGGTAGCAAGTGTTCCTGAATTCAGTCGAGATATATATACAAATAGTTAATTTTCTATTAATGTAATTGTAGTCAACATACTATTTACGAAGGGAGTTGGATAAATTGTTAAGATCAAAACCAGAAATCCAGGAAATTACCGACAAAAAATTCGTGCACACTAAGAATTTTTTCAATGAATTATTGCGATATTATCTTAAAGTAAATTACACTTTCTTTTGAACTACTATGGCATATGCATCACTTTTTGACTTGCTAAAAATTCGATATTTCAAGTCTTGATCAAAAATAGTAATAAGTCACTACATGTTTTCTATATATTTCGCAGGGTGATAATTTTGTAGAAGTTTTGTGGTTCATCGCCTTTATCTGATTACAGGGTAATGATAATAAAAATATCCCAGAATTTCTAGAGGAAATTATTTATAGACAATAAAACATACGCCAGTCTATTCAGCCGAATAAACTTTAAAAATATAATGGAAACATTTATGCAAAAACAGAGTCTTTGATTTAAAGACAGAGGCGAGGTTGCACTTCGCATACACAAGCAAAAATATGACCGATAACGCTACTGGGAAAAACTGAATGAGTAAAACGTTGAGTCTACAAAATTTCTTAAGTAACGCACGCCAATTATGAGTCTTTATAATTGCTAAGTAACGTAAACCAATTATGACGCATTATAAGTACCAGTCTATTTGAGCAAAAGAAACTTACCGACTACTACACCTCAGTTTATAGAGCGGACGCATTTTAACTAGTATACGAAAAATTCATTTAAAACACCCAACCCTGCCCAGGTTCGAAGCATTTTATTTTGTTACTGGTCTCCTTCCCTACCTGTACGCTACAGATCCATGATACCTCGAAGCTATAGTTCTATTTGTAATAAAATAGTGTGTTAATATCCTTAGCATTGGCCTTAAACTTAATAGCTGGTTTTTTATCAAAATGAACACTTTCAAAATAAATACAATTTGTTGCAACAATATTTGCATCGCAACAATTTTTGCGACTTAGGTTTGAAAAAAAAGAGAATTCATACTATAGCACAAGCTTGGCTTGAGTAAAAAAAAAACGTTTAAAATTCTCAAAACATGTTGGTAATCAAGTCTGTTGGGATTCCTCCGAGGAGATAAGTCTTGTGAACAAAGTTGTTGACGGGAAAATTCTGTAACGCGCTTGCAATAAATTAGTAGTCTACCAATTGCAATGCACAGCCAATTTTTTTTTATTCGAGAACAGAATTTACCTTCCTTTCAGCATAGTATATCAATTCAAATTCAAAAGAAATCAAAAGTCGAACCAGGAAAAATCAAATGCACTTTAGACTTTTTCTGTAAAACGAAAAAAAACATATTTAATTAGACTAGATTCCTTTGCAACTGTCCCGTAACATTGCTTGTGCACATGGACTCCATAGTTTCAGGATTGGACCGACGCACACTGAAAACTACCAGAGTTGAGCCCCATTTCGAAACTATTTTCTCCGAAAAGTCTAACATCCAGTCTCGAGAAATCTGCTTGTCGATGAGGCAGCATACTAAAAACATTAGGATCAATTAAAGCGCAGGCTTTTATTTCTAATTAACCGACACTAGAGACTCGCAAAACTGCCCATCCAAAAAACAAATGATACTGGTATATCATTTAGTTGGTCCCCAAATCAGCAATAATTAGTGAACATTCCTGAACCAATTTCCGTTTGTTAACTTGAGTGACTCATTTTTCGAAACAAAAATGGCGAGGAAAGTTCCCAAAATTGTTGATCAGATTCAAAATTGTGTTTGAGAAAATCATTAGTTTGCGATTTACACAATTCCTCTGTGTCAATGAAATGGTTGGCAGTCACTGCCCGAAATCTCATATTAACTCTAGATTGAGACGCTCGCAAGGTATTCTCATAGTTCTTTAGGGGACGAATAAAATTTGGCAAGAAACCCACTATCATAATGATACCAAAGGTTTTAATTTAAAGGTTAAAAATCACTTTTTTTCTTTTTTTAAGAGAACCCTTATTGATCTGAAGCACTACAAATCTAACTGATCCCTTTTACAATCAGTGTGTGTAAACAACACTGCATTTGAAGCAACGACTCGCAATGGTGTTCCCAATTAAAGCGAGCAGCTGATCTTCGCTTATTCAATATAACTACTTTCAGAGCCTTGATGTGCAGACAACCGGCAAAGCACTGTAACATTTCACAACGAATGGATAAAGTATCACATGATATAGGCAGACAAGAAAAGTCTACATTTTTATACCGATCGTAATTCTCCACAAAGAAATCCAATACTTTCAAATTCACGAACACTTTGGATAATAATTCGGGCCGTATATTTAATCCCATTTCAGTCTCATCATCAACTTGGAACTGGCAATACGGCTAATGTTTCTAAAGAAACCAATTGAGATAGAAGTTGGTTTCGGAAAGCAGTTAATTCTATGCCCGCTATGGTGAGTTTCTTGCATTTGAAGAATTGGTCAACATTACTTCGCAGATCTCCTAAATAGTTCAAACATTCGACAATATGCACGTCTAATTTCATTTCAAAACATTTCGAAAATCTTCTTAGGTCGATCAAATTTTTCGACCAAATTGTGCCTGTTTTTATTTTGATTATTCGCTTGCAGCGCAGAAAATAATTTTTTCAAATAAGTTTTTTTGTTTGATTTTTTTTTGTTTGAAAATCCTTCCAGAATAAGCTATATCTGCCCTTTCCAAACACTAGCGGATTTAAGTGGACAGAGCGATCAACGCACCCCCCATGGATTCAACTTCCTGACCACCAAAAACAAGCCAAAAAACAAGGATAGCCGGTTGCTGCGCAGGTAGCACAGAATGTTCCGACCATATTCATAAAAAAATAACTTTTTTTTTACTTTTTCTTCAATTTACTGTCGTTTATAGTGGGTGGTATGATTCCAGAAGCAAATGATCGCGTAGAAAATTAGTGAATAAGGCATGGTCGACTAACTTTTATTTAAAAAAAATCGAAAAAAAAATTTAAAAAAAAACTTTTTTTCACCATCTATTTAAATTTTTTCCCCAAAACTTGCTAATAAAACATTCAAAACTAGTTTTCAAGTTTTTTATCAGTCTAAGCAAAACGGTACCATTACTCGCTCGAAATTAGACGAAAATCTCAAAAAAAAAGCAAACCAGTTTTTCTCGACACTGAGACAATTTTTTGAAAATTTTTAAGGTCGTTCATTGATATATCACTCGAGCCATTCGAGGATTATTTGTGGTACCTGATTTTGCGTGAAAAAAAAACAAAAAAACAAGGACAGCCGGTTTGTTTCGAACTGATTTCGTTTTTTCTCGGTGGTGTGATAAAAAGAATTGAACAAAAACATTTAGAACAGGCATATTCGAGATTCATAGTAAAATAAGCAAATCAGAAATCAATTTTTAAAAACAAAAAACATAATTAAAACAAGATTAAAAATATTTTTCACAAAGTTCTTCGTTCCCAAAATGGCGTTAACAAACTCCAAAAACTAACTTTACTCGAGAAAAACTAAAATTAATCATAATGCAGCAAAAGTAAATGGCTTAATTAAGCATAAATAAGCCTGCTCCCTCGCTCTACTCACTCGAATAGACGAAAAAACAAAAATTTAAAGCCGGTTTTTCTCATCACAGGGAAATTTTTAAAAGTGGTTCGAATCACGATAAAAAGGCCTTGTTATATATTTGATATATGTTGATGTTGACTTGATTTTTTTGAATAAAAGCTTTATAAAGAAGGAGTGTTCCATCCAACAACTTGATTCAACAAAATCTATTTAATAAGTTTATCACTACAATTAGAAGTGATAAAGATAAAGGTCTGAAAGCTGTGTTGTGTTCTTCGTCGTCCGAGACTGCTTTCTTCGACGAAGTGTGTGCTCAGAGCAAACATAAGGTTAAAGCAATAATAGATACTGGTGCTACTGGATCTTTCGTCTGCTCATCCGTCATCAAACAGTTGAACTTTCCAATGTCTTGTCAAGTCTCAAATGCTATGATTACAAATCTAACCAGTTTAGAGTGTGAGGAATTTTCAACAATTCCTGTTGAAATTCGAGGCCACAAGTATACTGTCACTTTCAAGGTGGTTGTTCGTCGGGTTCCTGACATGACCATAAGCACTGATGTGTTAGGTGAGCATAACAGTATCGAATTCAAACCACGCGGCCGCAGGCAGCCAATCAGTTTCACAAAACCTATAGATTCGCAGTCTGTCGTATCCATGCTGTCTGCCATATTTCCAGCGCTTCAAGCGGAGCCACCTACTCTTTTCTTTGAAAAAAAAAACACTCGATTAGCCGAGCCTGTCCGAACGAATTCACGTTTGTCATCACGATCAGATCGTGATTTTATGGACAAGGAAGTAGAACGATTCTTGGCGTCAGGAATAATTGAAAGTTTAGCATTTACCTTAAAAAAGTGCTCAGGCTTTTGTCGTTAAAGGCAACAACCGCAAAACCAGAATGGCACTTGACTACCCAGAAACTATCAATTAGTATCCCTGCCCGATCCTGATTCGATGATTTATGAAGCAGCTGAATGGAAGTTTTTCTCCAAAATTGATTTGAAGTCAGCGTACCATCAAAACGAAATTCGCGAAAATGTTAAACCTCTTACGTCGTTCGAAGTCAATGGTAAACTTTATCAGTTTTGTCGCTCACAAATCGGAATTACGAATGCAGGCTCCGTTTTCTAGAGGTGCATGGACTCTATAATTAGTGATCATAAGTTGGAAAAGACGAAAGCCTATCTTGACGATGTGATAGTGGGTGACATTAATAAAGAAGAACATGGCCAAAATTTGCACAATATTTTTGCCGTTTCTAAGGATCTTGGAAGGCTCTCAACAAAGAAAAGTGTTCGTTTGGCACCAAGTAGCACAGAATGTTCCGACCATATTCATGTAAAAAAAAACAACTTTTTTCTTCAATTTACTGTCGTTTTTGGTTAAGGAAATGACCAAAACTTGCATAAAATTTTTGCCGTTTCTAAGGAGCTTGGAAGGACTCTCAACAAAGACAAGTGTTCGTTTAGCGTAACGAAGATCAGCATGTTAGGCCAGATATTTGAGAACGGGTTAAAACGCCCTGATCCAGAAAGGTTATAAACATTGATGAAATATCCTGTTACTACTACAGCGGTTCAGTTGCGCAGACTTCTAGGTTTCTTTGCGTATAATGCAAAAGGGATGAGCGATTCTTCAAACAAAATTTTGCCTTTACAGCAAACACAAAGTGTCAAAAGATTTCTTATTTCTCCTTAAGCGTTCAGCTCAATTGAGGAACTGAACGCCGACATTGCCATACCTCAGAAAAATGGAATTGCAATCAGAATAGAAACAGATGCCTCTGGTTCTGCGACAGGAGCATCACTTTCGCAGTGACAGACCGATCGCGTACTTCTCACGTCCTTTATCCAATGCTGAACAGAAGCAGTCCGCTGTTGAACTTGAGGCGATAACAGCGTTCCGGAAATGGCAACAGTTATACGGTCTTATCCAACGTCGGTGCGGCTCAAGATTCGCAGATCAACTTGCTTCACAAGTCTTCAGCAACCGTGGTTGGGAATAAATTCAGAGGCATAAGCTGGCTTTCTCTCTTTCGAAGAGAAGAGATGCATTGACTGCTGCTTAACATGCAAAGAGTGCAAACCACGTTTCTATAAACCTAGTTCTGTTGTTCCAGCTAGTAAGCCACTTGAACGTTTAGGTATTGATCTAGTGGGGCCAAAATCTCTATCCAGCAAGTCTGGAGTTGTCCATAAGCTGAATAACGTTGACGAAAATTGTCGTTTTCCTTTCACGTTTCCTTTAAAGAAATCAGCAGAAGAAGCGTTATGGCCTGTTTGCACAATCTGTTTTCTTTGCTCGAAACTGTGACACCTTTCCATTCAGACAGAGTGCGACAATTTGTGTCCAGTGAATTCAATTTTTTTCGAAATTAAAATGGCATTTCTCATTATTGTACAACTCGGTACCATCCAAGAGGGAATGGTCAAACTGAACGTTTTAACGGTTCGATATGGAGGGTAATTAGCTGCATTTTACGCACAACAACTTGGTCAAGAAAAATGGATGGATGTCCTTCCACAAGCTCAAGCATCCATTCGCACGTTGTTATGTTCAGCTAATAACGAAATACATCATTCACGTTTATTTCGTTTCGACAGACGGCAGTGCTGGGTTTTAATTTCCTTTCTGGTTATCATTGTAACGCGACGCTGATTTGATAAAAGGTTGTCGAACCAGCGTCGCATTAGCATTAAATCAGCGGCAGTTAGCATTGAACAGGTAATTTATCCATTTTATACCCGCCAATTAAAGTATCCGATACAAACACGCTTGACCCACGGGCACGACCGCGGAATTTAAAGAAACAATCAACAGTCGAGCAAACGATGCGTGAGTCTAAAGCAAGCAAGTTGACCTTAAAACGAGTTCCAATTTCATGGCTCTACTGTTGGGAGTTCAGAGATCAATGCGAAACCCGAAGATATTGAAATTGTAGGGCGTTATGAATTACTTTTCTTTCGCGTGGATGAATGTTATAAATTTGTTATATGTTACTGTTGATTTCAGATTTTGTTGAATAAAAGCTTTATGAAGAAGCGGTGTTCCATCCAACAGGACTTTTACATGAAATATCACTCAATCCAGTCCAATGACAGTTTGTGGTTCCTGATTTTCCGTCAAAAAAAAGAAAAAACCAGAACACTCCCGAATACAGATTTTCTCCTCATTTTCAATGGTCGGAACAATTTAAAAAAAAAACTAAAACATCCCAATACAAAGTTCCACCTCATTTTCAATGGTCGGAACAACAACAACCAATAAACGCCGAAAACATTTAAGCCCAATGAATGCTAAGGCAAAAAACTGTAAAAGAGGTAATTATACGAGATTTGTAACTTAATTTCCTGCACCATTACAAATTTTAGATATGTCATTCTAAAACTGAAAACTAAAACTTAATTATAAACTAGTTTATAATGTTGAAAAATGTGCTTGAAAAAATATGGTTCAAAGACAACCCCAGCTCAAAATCAACGATCAGCAAATTACAAAAACTTAGAAACATTTGGTCCTGTAAAATATAAACCACAAATTTGTTAAACTTTGCTGAAATGTTTTGGCTTAAAACTAAAAGACAAAAAAGTAAGATTTGTTAAATGCAAAAGACTTATAGTTAAATTAATGAAATGCGATGCTCACATATACTACAGTTGTGCCCCAACTGACTTATTAACCCCCAAAACATAAGAACAAAGTACCAGAATGGTTCTTTGTTATCGTCCAGAAAAAACATGCATCGTATTTCCTGCTCTTTTGAAAGTTATCAATATTTTGTAATTTAATCAATATTTTTTAAAAGAGGCAGGGCAGGGTCACGCGTAATCGGTGCGCAGCTATATTTGACTAGATTCGAGGAGCATTTTAGTTGAACTGTCGCCATTACCGAATTGTTTCCCATGTTGCATTTTTTTCAATGCCGGTATTTTGCATGTTGTTTTCAATGTTTGAACTATTGGTAAGCATGGAAGCTTGTGTTACTGCCCACTTCTTGGGCAAATGGCTCAAATTAGACATAGTATCGACAACCAAAGCTGTTTTAGGTCCAATGAAAGTATTGAACTGAGTTAAACTCGTTGATGCAATATCACGCCTACAGGGGTGTTCAAAATGAATATAACACAGTTGATCGCAATTTACATTAATATCCTGGCATTTCATGGAAATCTCGTTCAATTACCCCATCTCTTCCTCAATTTTTTCAAAGAAATTGAGGATTATAAGTTGATGCGTTTGGGTATCGACCCTTACATCTTTTGATTGTCAAGAGAGTTTGCTTGCCACTAGCCTAAATGCGGTTGGAAAGGCTCGATTGATATTTAATAGTTAAAACGCGCAATTTAATTAGGCCAATTATGACGCTCTCATAATCGATTCAAACTGAATTGAGGTGGAATGGGCGAAAACATAAATCAGCCAATCAGATTTCAGTATTCTAGAATTTGGAATGAAAGCTAAAGCATGAAAATCTTAAATAATGAAAATATTTTAAGGAACTTGATATATTGATGTTGCCCGAATAAAAACGGCAGAAATATGGAAAATTTCCAAAATGCCACTGACCGCCGGCGAATTGGAACAAATTTTGGATAAGTTAACATTCTATTCCCTAACTAGACCAAGTTAACATCTTCCTCCCCTATAATAAATTTAAGCTAAATTGGCTCAGCGCAGCGTGTAAAAAGCTCAATTCTGATTGGTTGAAAAATCCAGCTTTGAACCAACTAAACACCCCCCCTAAATAGCTTTAGGGGAGAGGTATTTTAACCAAATTTTATATTTTCAAGAGTTTCGTTATAAAAGAAGCAAAGTATTGCTTAATGTAATTCAACGGCAATTGAGACATTATTGTTCTCAAATCATGTTAGAGTAAGAAAAAAGTGACTTTTTCCGCTCAAAGACACCTGAAAACGAATCTGTAGATCCAATTATGATCTCTCAAGCAGCTGTAATTTTACTTAAATGTCAATTTGTTAACTTTTGTATTTACTGCCTGAAAACAATTTATTATGATTACTATTATTTTAATAATTGGCTTTCGAATTTTTTGTTTTCGGTCCTTTACCTGTGAGTCTTTCACTAATTCGGTCCTGCACCCATGAGAATCACCCCTGAATAAGGCGAAACTTTTAAAATTAAAAACCGTATCGACTAGCATAAAAATCAACACACAAAATTCATTAGTAGTCAAATCTAAAATCGTTTAACACAAAAACATACATGT